CCCCATCATTTTGCTTTGGGGAGCTTTAGGGCTGCCCTCCACATAGGACTGGGTTGGCCTTACCAGGGCTTAGACAGCTTTCTACAGATAAAGAAGATTCAAAGAATCCACAATAATTTTTGCAAATCTGTTATTTTTAGGAAAAAGGATATAATAGAGTGATAACATTAAAGTAAGCAGATGCATCACAGCCGAATGAATGCTGCCTCACAGCATGGAATCCAGAGAGGACTGAAGTGAGTGCAGTTGTCTTCTCTTTGCAGGGCCACACGAGCACATGCTTTCTGTCTTTATTAAAATCACCACTGAGCCTCCCTGGTGGCGCAGGGGTTAAAGTCTCAGCACTATTAAGCGAGCACCACCACTGCAGCACAAGTTTGATCCCCGGCCAGGGAGCTAACCCACATGGCATAGAAGACCTCTCCTGTCTCACCTGCTGTGTATTTCAGTAGATCCACCTGTTCTGCTCCCCACTCTGTCTCTGGTGAGTCCTCTCACCCCATGCACCTCTGGCCTACACCCCAGTTCTTTTATGCATAAATAAATAAATAAATCTTTAAAAAATAAAATAAATAAAATCACTACTGTATGTGATAGACACCTCAGATGTAGGAGCTCACACATATATGTAGGTATCTGTGACAGATGCTTATGGGTTGGCAAATGAGTAGATTTCCTATGAACCATTCCTGCAAAGGTAGCAGCCATTCAGAGATCCAGAGTAAGCGCAAATTCCCTCAAGAGCTAGCAAATGTTCTCCATCCACAGTGTTTGGGGATAGGGACATTGTTCTTTGATCTAAAATTCTCAATAGGGCCTCCCTGGTGGTGCAAAGGGTTAAGTCGCAGCACTATGAAGCTATCACCAGCCACTATGGCATGAGTTGAATCCCTGGCCAGGAAGCTGACCCACATGGCGCAGCAGACCCCCCCTGTCTCGCCCGCTGCTCCCCTCAGCAGTGTATTTCAGTCAATCTACCTGTTCTGCTCCCCACTCTGTCTCTGGTGAATCCTCTCACCCCCTGTACCACTTACCCATACCCCAGTTCTTATATGCATAAATAAATACATCTTTAAAAAATAATAAAATTCTCAATAGATTCTTCAGCAGGGGCTCATCAGGGAGTTTCTTTCAACACACTGCAAATCTCTCAATTTTTTCACTCTACAATCACTTTCATTATGTTTCCTTGCCCTCCACTGTGAGCTTGTCCCACTTAAATTACGTTTTCAGTAGGAATTTACCTCACAGGTGTAGCTAATATATTGGCATGCTTGCCTGGTTCCTTCCGTTAGAGCTCTACCTTCCGGACATAGAGGATGAAGCTCAACCAAAGGTAAGCCGGAGTTTTCAGTTATTTTGCTAACACTGATTGCGGTAACCATGGAACTGTATTTTAGTAGATCTGCCAGCATCTTGAGGCTTCTTGCAAATCAATTTTGATAGATCCTGAAGTTTAGATTTCATCATTTCCTGATCTCACTGGAAATTTTTATTATCAGTAACTGATTTCTAAGCATGAGCTACTCAAATCAAGGATGACTTGACAACCTCCTGGCGTCAATGGTCATTTTCGCCCCTTTCATCACAATCATACTTCATTTTTTATCTAAACTACTCTTTCATCCTATGTTTTCCTCGGTTAAAATGAGTTTGGGGGTGGGTAAACCTCTAATCCTACTTCTAATATCAACTGATCTACGAGGAGCAGTTGCCGTTTGATTGTTACGGCCACAGGACTCCACACTGCAGGGCAGGAAAAGATAGTGGCGTAGTAGTGTCCAGGAAGGATAAATCGTACACCCAAAAGCTGCCTTAGGGTAAAGGAAGTTGATCAGGCTTTTCACGCCATTGGCCTCTGTGGCCATCACCTGCGGCCTTGATCTTGTTAACGCAGAGGGCGCGTGAGTGCAGGGCACGCGTACCTGACGGTGGACACACAGTCAGCATGGGTGTGTGCACATGTGCAAATATGCACACCTGAGCCTAGGAGGAAGGGGGTTAAAGGGCGTCATGCAGGGGAACAGGACTCAATTTGTTGTCTCCCTGCTGGCTTGTTTTCCCAGAGTTTCTCAGACTGTTTTTGCCATGACCTTCCGCATGGCCTAGCTGATAACATGCAGCCTTGAGATGAGTCTGTGTGCGCAGAGCTCAGTACATAACAGTGTAAGCTTGATGTGTGGTTTGCCCACTTGAAATATACTTCTGTATGCTAGGCCTAAACTTGGCCCTGTGCCGCCTTTGTCTACAAGTCATGAAAGCTAATAGGGCTCCTCGGGCCTCTGGGGCCTCATGGGGCCTCTCACGGCCACTCACTGGCCACTCATGGGGCACGGGACTGCTGCTGCGGCCAGAGCCTGGAGTGGGGGCGCTGCCGCTGTTACTGCTCCTGGGCTGTGGCTGCTGCTGCTGCCACCAGTGTATCTCCTCCTCCCTCATAATAAAGACTTGTTCCTGGCCCCATGTATGGGCTTTGGGACCTGTATTCTCATCAGCGGCCACCGAGAACCAGGCAAGCTTGTAGCTGAGGCCCCCCCAGGAAGCCTCTTAAAGAAGAGCCATGAGGATCCACAGAAGTTTGGGTCTAAATGAATGAAGAATGGAGAAGACTCCTTTAAGCAGGTTCAGTCTGGGGTTCTAGAGAAAATGGGAAAAATGGATTTCCGGAATTTCTTCATGTCTGCGATCTGCTCACAAGAAGAGGGAAGTTGATTGAAATCTGAGTTAGATGCTTGGCGCAGTGATCCTCACTTGGGTGCAGTTTTGCCTCTCAGGATCTATTTGGCAATGTCAGGAGGTCGCTTTGGTTGTCACAACTGGGGGGTAGTTGTGCTGGGCCAGGGATGGTGCTAAACCTACAATTCTCAGGAGAGACCCCACAACAAAGAATTATTCAGTTGGAGACATCAATCATGTTAAAGTTGAAAACACCTGCTTTAGCCGAAATACAGTGTGTGCCTTTAAATTTTGTGTCCCTTGCTCATGCTGTTTCTTGATAACAAAGCAAATTATCCCTGGATTTTGGATGACATTTAAGGGAGGACTTAGCTATATCCAGCAAGGTTTCTATTTTCTGCACGCATCATGAGCATTTGATGTAGGACTGGCTATCACAAGGTAGTCAGTGGGTATCAGTTCCTTTAATCATGGAGCACCTATTTAATATAAAAAACATTCAGATACTCCATTATAGTCACAGCACATTATCCATTTATAGTATATCTATGATGACCAAAACTTACAAGTGGAGAAATGCTCCAAAATAATTTTTTCTTAGTATTGATATGCCTGAGCAATAATCCTACTTATATCAATCATTGGAGTATTATGCAAGAATTCAAATGACACTTTAAAAATCACTAAGTTTGCATAGTGATTTATAACATTTTTCTTCTAAGAGGGTTTGGATCAACTTCAGTGTTAGGGGTAAAGAATAAAATATGTAAATAAAAGGTAAATTCACCGGAAAGTAGTATATAGGTCTGGAACATTGTGCACAATACAAGAAACTATCATTAAGTTTATTTTTTTAAGATTTATTTATTTAGGCAAACAAAAGCTGGGGTATAGGCCAGAAGTGTGGAGGGTGAGAGGATTCACCAGAGACAGAGTGGGGAACAGAACAGGCAGACTGATGAAATACACTGCTGAGGGGAGCAGCAGGTGAGCCAGGAGAGGTCTGCTGCACCATGTGGGTAGCTCCCTGGCCGGGGATGGAACTCGTGCTGCAGAGGCTGCAGATAGCTTCACAGTGCTGTGCTTAACCCCTTGTCCCATGGCTCTGCAAGAGACTCCTTTTTGATGCTAAACATTACCACAAATACCCAGGCAAGGTGATAAGCAAGGGCATCCCACAAACATAGTAGTGAATGAGGCCAGAACCATGGAAACGTAGCCTTAGCAGCAGTGAAGTACAGAGAATGAGTTAACTCTCCCAATTATGTAGTCACCCAAGGCCAGGAGTAAAGGGTTGATCGCTCGTGACCATCATAAATCATAGAGCAGACAGACATCATTGTTCCTTCTCTTTGCCACAGCTTCTGACCTCACCCTTCTCTCCTCTGCCAACTTCTCCCCAGTCAAGCTATTCTTGTCCCTGCTGAGGTCATCACTGTGTTTGACCCTTTCCTTTTATGCTTTTTCTCATACATAGAAGTTTCACATCTTTTTTCTTGCATGGATGAGATGCAAGGACAAACCAACCAATCCCAGAATGTAACACACACACACACACACACACACACACACACACACACACACACGGAAAACCAAGCACCAAAAAACAAAGGAGAAGGGGAGTGACTTGTAGTGGCAGAGGAAAGAAAAGTCTGAATAAAATAAATTTACAAATTTTAACAAATTTACAAAAAGTATGGACAACATATTTTAATTGTGAAAATTATAAACATAGACAGAAGACTTGTTTAAAGTTATAAAACTAGTTACATACAATAGAGGACAAAAGATTGGAAAACATCTTTTACATAGTAAATCAATAAGACAAAAATAATGAGTGACAAGTTGAGATACATAAATTATTAATTCAGGAGCTAGAACATTTAGCTAGGAGTTCTAGAAAGAAAGAGGTGGAGGAGGCAGGAGCATGTAGAAGAAAAAACCAACCATAGGTCTACATATCTAAATGGGATACATTTCTTGTATTTAATTTTCATTATCAGTATAGCCAGCGAGAAGGTGGTATAGAGTTTGTGGTCCAGAATTCTACCTTAAGTTTTTTTTTTTTTAAGATTTATTTATTTATGCATACGAGATCTGGGGTGCAGGCCATACACTGCTGAGGGGAGCAGGGGTGAGACAGGAGAGGTCTGCTGTGCCATGTGGGTCCCCTCCCTGGCCGGGGATCGAACTTGTGCTGCAGTGGCTGCCGATAGCTTCACAGTGCTGAGACTTAACCCCCTGCACCACCAGGGAGGCCCCTCTGCCTTAAGTTCAAACACTTGGTAACACAAACTCATTTCCTACTACTCAGGTCCCGTTCACTACCTGAAATGTTGCAGAAATTTCTCCCATGTCTTTTTCACAGCTACCTTCACTTCCACGTTTTTAAGGCTGTAGATGAGGGGATTCAGCATGGGCGTGACCACACTGTACTGCAAGGAGGAGAGCATGTCTAGGGAGGAGCCAGAGGTGGGCATCAGATAGCGAACCAAGCCCGACCCGAAGAACAGAACCACCGCGATGAGGTGGGAGGAGCAGGTGGAGAAGGCCTTGCTCCTGCCCGTGGTGGAGCTGATGCTCAGGATGGCAGAGACGATGCGTATGTAGGACAAGAAAATGGGGGTGAAGGTCCCAAGCACATGCAGTAGGGTGATGACGATCAAGATGTCAATGTTGATGGAAATATCAGAGCAAGACAGAGGGAAGAGGGAGGGCAGCTCGCAGGTGTAGTGGTGTATGGTCTGGGACTCGCAGAAATCCAGGTTAACAGCCAAGAGCACAATGACGACTGAGTTGACAGAGGCCAAAGCCCATGAGAGCAACACCAGCTTGACACAGAGCTCGTTGCTCATCATCTGGCCATAGAGCAGGGGGTGGCAGATGGCAGCGTAGCGGTCATAGGCCATCATGGACAGGAGAAAGGCTTCAGTCCCTGCGGTGACAAACACAAAGAAGACCTGAGTTAGGCATCCCTCGATGGAGATGGTTTTCTTCTCAGACAGGAGGTCCTTGAGCAGCTTGGGCATGGTGACGGAGGACAAGCAGAGGTCTAGGAACGAGAGGTTACTCAGGAAGAAGTACATGGGGGTGTGGAGGTGGGCATCGGTCCTGATCACCAACAGCATGGTCAGGTTGCCCAGCGTAGTCAGCACGTAGATCGCCAGGAAGAGCACAAAGAGCAGAGCTTCGACGGAGGGGTTGCTGGACAGTCCGATGAGAACAAACTCTGTGATGACACTGTGGTTCCCAGAGGCCATTGGTGGAGGGTGTTTTCCTGGAATGAAACAGAAGGATGAGATCCCTTACCTCCTCCAGAGCACCCCCTCTTCTCATGCATCGCTCCCTTCTGGGTCCGGACTCTACACTCAGATATCTCAAAACAGCCTTCGCTACATCTCAGGGAGAGTTTTTATTTTGTTATCCCCAATCTTGGGGTCAGACAGTCTTATACCTTTTCCAAAGGGACTTACTAGAAAATGAATATCTGGTTCATCTACATATTCATAATACTTAGAGTCCTATGTTCTTAAGTACATAGCACTTACATATTATAGTACTTACATAGTACTTAGAGTCCATAGTACTTAAGTACATAGTACTTACATATTCATAGTGCATCTTTCATATAGCTTGGAAATCCTTAACATTGTAGCAGAGATCCACAGCGCATTTATAAAACTCTTATCCCCTTCATATATAGGATTGATAAACTCAAGGGGAAAAGAGAAATATATTATACATTTGGTTTAAAATCCAGTTACTTATCAGAATTAGCATCCATTAGACACAGCTCCATGGCTGATAAAGAAATGTTATGTTTAAAGATCAAAAGCACAATGCGAATAATGCAGGCTCAATAACTTCAGTAATAAAGTACACATTTTAATGGAAAAGAGGGACCACAAAGGCAAAAGTGCTTGGGGCTCGTGACAGTCATCATGGGTCTCTGATCCTTCATAAATAATGATTTAACTCTAAAAGCACAATATTAAATACAGCACATTTTCTTAATCACTATATTAATTTTACCAAAGCAATTGTGTGAGATTTTGCAGGGAATTGTTTCCTGCCCCCCTAGATAAGGAAATTCATCCCTGTTTTACCTGGGAGAAATCAGACATTTCAGATGTCTGATGTTATGCTGACAAGTGGAAGAAACAGGAAATAGATCGCATTATTTTTTCTAATTATCAGCCAAATATCTAGGTTGAGTCCATAGTAAGAAATAGTTTCTTACCTTGACATTCAGAGTTCTTCCTCATCTGCTCTTAAACGTTGAGCCATTTTGTTTATTTTTGATAGCAGGGAGGTCTTTTGGTGTCTGCTCATCTTTTTCATTTCAAACACCCTCCTAGCTCGACTGAACCTAGCTCATCTGGTTCTTGCAATGTAACCAGGAAACCACGCTTGCTTCCTGAGAGTCTGTCTTGACAGAGCTCTGCTCTCGCCAGAGTTCTCTGTGCAAACACTGGGCTCCTTGCTCTCAGGACTTTAAAGTCATAATCTGAATTCCGTTTCTTTTCTCATGTGAAACCTACATCTCATTTTCCACCCTGCAGTCTCTGGGCTCCTTGGGAACATGGAGCACAACTTAAAATGGTTACACAGAGTTTCTCTGACCCTGTCCCCAGTTGTTAGCTTCTGTCACCTTTTAGATTATTTTAGCATCTCATATGTGCTTGACTACATCTGGTCAGCAGGTTATTTTGATGATGTTAGTAAACATCACTTTGAACTCTAATTTTTGTGGCCATGTAGTAATTCACTGTCCCGGGTAAAGGTTCCTGCCTTATGTGGATATTGTGAGAATCATTAAGTATTCTATTCTTCTTGTCACACAAAAGTCCTTCATTTTGCTTATCCAGACATGTTTCTGACCCAACCTTGCCAGCAATCTATGACTAGGTGCTGACATATCAAGAGAAGCTTAAATTCTGATACCATTAACCCCTTAGTACACACGTAAGCCTTAGACCCAGGTGTAGATTACCTGTGTGGCAGCACAAACATGGCAAGGTCCACCTTTGTGTATTGGCAGGGTTTTAGCTGAGATCCAGGGATGGTGAAGCATAATCAGCTGGAGAGGTTACTCCTGAGAATCCTGCATGGATAAAATTGAAAGCAGTATCTTGACCCAATCTATACAAGCAAAGTAAAATGATATATGGGAGCAAGCTTTTCTTTCTAAAGATCTATTTTTTTTAAAGATTCATTTACTTTTATCCATCAAAGAACTGGGGTACAGGCCAGAGGTGCGGAGGGTGAGAGGATTCACCAGAGACAGAGTGGGGAGCAGAACAGGCAGATGGAATGAAATACACTGCTGAGGGGAGCAGCGGGCGAGGCAGGAGAGGTCTGCTGGGCCATGTGTAGCTCCCTGGCCAGGGATTGAACTCGTGCTGCAGAGGCTGTGGATAGCTTCACAGTGCTGTGCTTAACCTCTAGGCCACCAGGGAGGCCCTCTAAAGATTTAGATACTGATACAGCTTTTCTGGAAACTGCTTACACTTTTTCATGTTCACTCACAAAGTGGGACTGCCACGGTGTCTGCAGGGGCATTAACAACATTGTAGTATTTGTGGAGAATCATTTTCTGTCCTGCTCAGCATCCACATTTTGTGTGAGTGAAGGCTGTAGCTACTTTTCTCATGTGATTTTCAAGTTATCCCTGAGAAGGGAATCTCCCTCTCCTGATCTCTTTCTAAATAGGATCTTAAAGTGATGTCTGAGATTTTTTCAACGACCGGGGGAAATTCTTTAAATTCCAGATCAATTAAGCATAAAAATAAATCACTCTTTGGAAGAAAAGGTATTGGCTTCATTTAGTTCTGAGATATAAAAGACTGATTCCAACTTTAGAATATGGGGTGAGAACAGGAAAAGACAGGAAAAAAGATAAGAGACTTTGATTGCGGAGGGGTAGGAGATATACAAGGATTTTAGGAGGGTTAGTGTCACTGCTTTACCAACACAGACACTTCAAGTCCATGACATACCTGGTCATTTGATCGATTTTTCTTACAAAGAGAAGAAGCAGGATATTGGGTATATTTATGAGTTTATGGCTCTCAGAAGATTCACTAAAATAAGCATCAACACAATTCAGCTGTTAATAGGTAAATAACAGATTTATTTCACTGACTTAAGGATCAAGCCCCAACGTTAAGAAGAACAACTCTGATGGAGATATTATCTTAGTTAATCCTTTTCAAAGGACCAGCTATTTGACAACAGTTTTCCACAAAATAAGTTATTCTACAGGGGTCTGGCAAAGAACCTTGTTCACACTGATTGCTTAAAGCTGTTTTTTGTTTTTTGGAAAAAGGAAATGAGTGAAGGGAATGTGTAGAAGGTCAGTCTGGACAAGGTGACATGAGGGATCCGCTGGACTGAGGGGTAAAATTCAGACCTAGGTGTTTGAGGGAAGACTCTGAACTGGGGAGAAGGCTCTCAGCTCTGGAAGCAGGAAGGACCACAGGCAAACTTGATCCACTTGAAAGTACTGTCAGAGCTACCTTTCCTGCACAAACAGTCCACTCTCTACCACTGATGTCTGCATTTCACTGTAGGCATCAGCTTTGGGCTAGTATTTTGGACCATGAGGCCTGGGAGGGTGCATGCCTAGGCTTTAGAATGTGACTATCCTCAATGTTAAGCAGGGAGGGAAGCAAGACTTGCCAGAGAAACATCCCAGGCAGCTGGTACAAATACACCCTTTGGAGAAAAAGATATCAGAGCTCTAACAAGGGGAGGCGGCCTCTTAAGCTGTTTCCAGCTCTAGTTTGGGGATGAGGAATGGGTGGAACAGGAAGCTCAGCTTTAGGATTAAATCAGTCATGAAGTGGCAATAGAATGCAAACATCCATACAACTTTGCAGGGAGTGTAGAGGGAGCACGAGAAAATCAGAGAAGATATTACCATTTTCCTGGCTTTTCTTGGAGGCAGCAGCTCTACATGTTCTGTCCTTGCGATCAGGGTAGACAAATCATAGGTATTCTCTATAAAAGAACTGCTGTTGCAAGAGTCTGATGCTGTAAAGAGTAGAGAGATTTTTCTCTTTGCCATTGGCAAGTGAAGGAAATTAGAATTCATCACCCACACTCTGGAATCACTGGCTATGTCACAGAATCAGGATCATTACCCTGGAAACTTAATCTTAGATTGGTGTCATTTTGCAAAGCAGGACGTAACCTGGGAAGACAAGGATGATTCTTCTGCAGAAACTCATATTCTGAGCAACAGGAAAATGTTTCATTAAAGCCTCACATGATCTCAGGAGCAGTAACGCTGTCTCTTCATTTATTTCTCTATGATTCTGAATACTCTTAAGTATCACTGAAAGAAAGAACAATCTAATGGAACCAATCAGAAGGTCATCCACGCTTATGCAGCCAAGGATTGGGTCAAGGGCCCAGGGGAAGCTGAGTAACTAACCCGTATTCCCTCAAGTCCCAGCTGAAGCTGAGCTCACAGTTTCCAGTTAACTAGAAAGTTAAACTTAGGAAACATCAAGGGTTATGTCCAGCATTTGAGGTTTCTGAAAGAATGCAATACTTTAAAACTCAAAAAAAAGATTATTAGGCCTGAAGGGCAAAAAAGGGAAAGTAAAAATGAACATTTTCCTCATGGCACTCTGGGGCTGAGAACGCCCTTTCTGGATTAGCCTGGAGAGCTGAGCTGTGACACACACTGAGCACTGTCTGGGTCATTGTCAAGTGCACACTTAAGTTTTCCTTATTTTCACAACAGGGTTTTCCATTATAATAATTAAATGAGAGGATATAACTCTCCCCTGGAAAACTTGTCTTAATTTTCTAGAGTCTCTATTTTAAGCATATGATGAAATTTTTTTTTAAAGATTTATTTATTTATTTATTTATTTATTTATTTATTTATTTATTTATTTATTTATTTATTTATACAAGCACTGGGTACAGTCAGAAACACTGGAGGGTGAGAGAATTCACCAGAGCCAGAGCGGGGAGCAGAACAGGCAGACTGAAGAAGTACACTGCTGAGGGGAGCAGTGGGTGCGGCGGGAGAGGTCTGTGTGCCATGTGGGACCCCTGCTGGTGACCGGGGATCGAACTGGCGCTGCAGAGGCTGTGGGCAGCTTTGCAGCCCAGCGCTCAACCACTGCACCACCCGGGAGGCCCATATGATGAATTTTTAAGGGTTTGTTAAAGAGTGATAATTCAAGTACATAAAGAATTATTTTAATGAGTCATACAATGGGATTTATAAGTGTATGTCAAA